CAAAGACGAACAAAAAGAGAGCCCACAATAGAGGGAGGAAAACTAAAAGAAGAGCCCACCTTATAGCCCACTCAATGCTCTAAGAGCCCTTGTTTGAGAAAAATGGCAAGAATGGGGTAGAATATATGAAGATGAGGATAGAGGCGTGAAGGAGGTCTGAGATTCAGTTATCTATCAAGGTAGCTTACTCTGGGAGTTCTCATGAATAATAGATGTTTCTGTAATTATTGTCCATCTTACACTTGGGCATGACAGAACTGATTTTGGTCATTCCAAAATCACTCTTAAACATGCCCTTATTCCACAAAATAACAGTAAAAATTCTTTTCAAGTCTCTTGATCACCAATGTTCTTTAAAATTTTCACTTGACAAACAAAATTAGAACCATAAAATAACAGTAATTGTTATTATTGTTCTTTTTAAATAAATAAATAAACGAAGGAGAAGATGCCACAACTAGTGACCCATAAACAGAGACGGTAGATTGATTTTTACTAAGATAAGGCAAAAAGAAGTGGCTATAGGACATTACCCCACTAAAATTCGTAGTTTCATAGTTTTGGTACTTGTAATTCTCAAAAAAAAAATGACAGTGTCCCTCGTGGGAGAGCAAGAAGATCAGGCTGAAGACATGGATATTCCCACCATCAAAAACTAGCTTGCCTCCTAGTATATTAGATATCCAAAAGAAAAGAAAGCAGCATATAAAACAGGATGCAAAGAGTATGATGCACCAAAATAAAGAATTTGTTCCGTCTTAAATTTCCTAAACAACAAGATCTTACCTTAACTTCCCCACATAAGCATTGCTTCCTTGGGATAGGTCTTCACCATCAAGAGATATTATATACTCAGTATGAGATCCATGCCTATATCTTCGAGCAGCTAAGAGGAATTTTCCCTTATCTGTAAATGCTGGAGAGGTAGGAGGGAAAAACCATAATCAGCTCATACCACATATACAAATTCCTCCATTACTAAAAGAAAATAACAAACAACAGATAGGCAAGACATGTCAGTCATCAGTGGCCACCAAGTCATGCACTGGACACAAAAGTTGCAATTTAAATGCAAAGAACCATACATATAAAATAATACTAAAAAAAATCTTAAGTCTGTAAAATTCATGAACATCTTACTACAATTCATAGTCGGTCATCTCTATTTTGTGTTTTGTTAAAGAAAATCTCTCTTGGTGGGATTTGAATCACCAACCTTTTGGTCAAAATTGTAATAGCTTAACCCATTGAGTTATGCCTAGGTTAAAAAGGTGGGTGTTTCTCATAAAGTCAATTATTCATTCATGTGAGCGAGGGAAATTTTTTTTATCAAACCAAGTAACCCACATGGTAATCAATCCTAACTCAAGTTAAACATAAGCCTAGTTATTTGTTCATGCCACTCTCTAAGAATTCTTATACAGAAGACAAAAAACACTTCTAATCTTGACCAGGTCCTTTGGAATAAACATAAAGTAACAAAGAAAGAAAACAAAAGGATAAGAGATCAGAAGACAGTGGATAAATGAACCAAAACTTGCAAAAAGAATAAGTATTACATCCACCAAAATAAGTGTTTAAGAGAACAAGAAAAGAAAAACCATTTACAAACCGCAAAGATAAAAACAAAATTCACCCAAGGCCCAAGGGTTACATTCTCAATACCTTGGTACTCATCAGTTGTATTTAAACCATAAAACCTAAAAGAATGCTCAAGTTGATTCACTATTTAATGAAAACTATCATACGAAATGTTCAAATCAAAATATGATCCTGGACCAAAACTCATGAGAAGATATACCACTCCATCATGAACCCAAATTCAAAAGAATATATATCCCCCCTCCATCAAATTATCTGTGTTCAGTAACTGTGCAAGTCCTTATTAAGAGTTGAGCCCACTTAAACGATTTTCTAAGTTCTTATTAACGGCCATCATGTTCATGGGTTGCAAAAACATGTATTTCATTTAATTTCTTTCCCTAGGGAATAAAGGGGAAAGAGGAGCATGCATAGCCCAATAAATTCGACTGCACAAAAAAAATCTCTTCGGCCTTTCTTAAGTTAGACGATAACATAAATACTGTTAGCTAAGCCATTCATTCTAAGTTACATGGCATAAAATGGATGATACTTAGATCCCATCTCAGTGTTGTTACCCTTTTTCCTCTACAAGAAGTTACTCACATGGTGCAAGGGCAAGATAAAGGTAAAATGTTGAAGTCTTCTTGTTCCTTTTTATAAGACACTGATGCGGAGGATCGCATGGTCCAGGCTGCATTAGACATTAACATATTTAGATGAACGTTCGGACATTTAAATTATACCATCAGGATTCTAAATACATTAACGTTTGTTCAATTCATAGGACTATGCTTTCTGATAAGATTCAGAAAGAAATTAAAAATTAGGGTAGCCTTGAAATTAAAAAATTATTTGTAAACTTCGGTTAATCAATGCAACAAGCCCATGTCACTAATCATTCAATACAACAAATATCTGGAATTGCCCCATCGAGAACAAATAGAATTCTCAACCAATCAACGAAAACCGCCAACTACCTCAAACTCCACCCGGAAATCACGAACACATTTTCAAAAACCAACTCTGTGTTAGGAAAACCAATCCATCGATCCCAAATACGTAGCAGGTTGAATTCGAAAAGTAATTCAAATAAATTAAGACCGAAAACACGTAAGAGATAGAACTGAATAATATGAACGAGAAGAAGCAAATGCTACCAAACAACAACGAGTTGCATCCAATTTCAAACCAATATCAGAACAAGAAAAAATTCGATGATTACCGAAACAAAATCCCGCGAAATACCTGTTTGAGGCAGGAAGGGAAAGTAATTTTCCCGGAAAGAGGGGCGGCCCTGGCGACCTCCTTAGTAATATCCCGCCAACGCTTACAGACACAAGCACACGAAACAACGTTCTGGCGGTTAGGCCAACTATCCTCAGAAGCCTCAACCCGCTGAATGATCTCCCGAAGAAGCTCCGGTAGCATAGAGGACCAAGCAGATTCAGGCTGCATCCGGCCGCCGCTGAGCTGACCAGAGCCATCTTCGACCTCCGACGAAGCAACTCGAAGAATTCCATCTCCTACACCATTTGGAACTCTATACAACGACTTTGAGGAAAACCTCCGAGAGAGAAACGATCTGCGAAGAGACATGGCCGCTGGTTTTTAGGGCTCAGAATCACATGGTGAAAGGAGAGAGAGAGAGAAAGATGACAGATCTTAGAGAGAGAAAACACAGGACAGAAGATGAGAAGGAAAATCGCGGAGAGAGAGAGAGAGAAGGGAGGAGATGTTAGAGAGACAGGGCCGTGAGGAAAGGAGAAGGGAGGAAACGCGAAAGATGCGATGAGGCGTTGAGGAGACAGTGCTGTGAGTTTAGCATTTTGAGGAGGCAAGAAATGGAGTTTGGGCTTTTCCACTTTCACGACTCGGTCCATCCAACACAAATACTTTTCTTTTTTTCTTTTCAATTAAAAATAATTGTTCAAATATTTCGCTTTTTTTTTTTTTTAATTTAAATTTCTTCACATAAATATTAATTTATTTAAATCTAACTTCAAAGCCTTTTAAATACTTTATTTATTTGGTGTGACAAAATCAAAATGGGTTTGTGCTATCTAATTATTGGAATTAAAATATTTTATAATAAGTTGGAAGACTTTCCATGTGATTATGCTCCACATGTTTTGAAATTAATTTTTAATAATTATATTTACATAAATGCTATTATTTTTATTTTTATTTGTAAATTTTTACCTGATATTGTTAAAAATTATATTTATTTATTGACAATTTATTCGATATATGTTTGTTGTTATTCCTATAAATTCCTTAAAATTTTTAGTCTACTTTTTTATTTCAAAATATTAGCAATTATTTTTAAAAAATTTGGCTTATATATATATATAGTCAAATTTTGACTTTTACCATTTATTCTTGAAAAAGAAAGATATTTAAAGGGGTAGAACATAAATTTTAGTCCTCGGCAATGGAATTATTACTGGAAACCAAATTTGAAATTTGAAGTCAATTTTTAACTAGAACATTTGACTATTTAGTCATCTATGATTTTTTTTTTTTTTTTTTTTTTTTTTTTTTTTTTTTTTTTTTTTTTTTTTTTGACAAATTCTGAAATTTCGAGTTTATTGGATTGGTGACCCGAAACAAAATATACATCATTCACTATAGACTCCCAAATTAAAAATTAAGTTGAGTTATTGAGCTGTTTTTTAATTTATTTTTAAATCATATTTATCCACAATATATCACATTAATAACTAAAATCTCATCAATTATTTTTAATCTTCTTAACAATCTCTATCTATATTTAAGTTGGGTCCGACCAACAAAATTACAATAAGTGAATCAAATTTAATTTTGTATTTTTCAACCATTCAACTTAACTCAATATTCAATCGGACTTATATAGTTTAAATGGGGTGGTTTAGATGATTAAATAAAAAGTAGATAAAAGTTCAACAATTCCAAACAGATATTAGGTGAGGACTAAATCAACATTTCAAGTAATAAATGTCTTCCTTCAACAAGTTAAATGCTGCGCTGACTCATTTAATATAAAAATAATCAAAATTTTACTAAGTTTGTAAGGCTGAAATTTAACTTATAAAGCCTCGCCTGGTCTAATCCATGAATAGTTTCTCCATTGGTTTGAGGCCTTTTGGAAAAAGCTCAAAACAAAACCATAAAAGCTTATGCTCAAAGCTTAAAGTGGACAATATCATATTATTGTGGAAAAAGCTCAAAACAAAACCATAAAAGTTTATGCTCAAAGCTTAAAGTGGACAATATCATATTATTGTGGAGAGTTATGTTCGTCTAACACACTTTATAAGTTCAAATGTCCACGCTGGAATATAATGTTTTATTATAATAAATAAACACAAACACATAAAAGGGGAGGAGAAAGGTTGTTATTCCATAGAGGTTGAGAAAGATTGAAGATTGGGAGGAGATAATAGGAGAAGTTATAATAAGAATATAATCCATCTAATCATTCATCATACAAAGTATGGTGGGGGGGGGCACACACTCCCGCCAAAACAGACGCAATTTTAGAGATTTTTGACACTATAAATTCCTCCAGATTTTCATTCAAATCCACACCAAATGGGTACACCATAGACATTAGATTCATGTTATTAAACCGAACAACATTAAAAGACTTCTGTAATTCCTCCCCCTTTAGGCGCCACTTGCGTATAATTGAGTCCATTCCTTTGCTGACAGAATAAGAACCAATCACAAAATGGTGTCAGCCCCTACACTAAATCGAATCTAGTTGACTCTAAGAGATCTATATTCTTCTATTCAAAATTACCAGACAATCATAACATTAGTCAGGAGGAACAAAATCCTAAGACAGGATGAATGATAATGTAACTCACCTGTTTTCTGGACAGTGAAGAAGATAGTTCAAACGAATCTGAATTTCAGTAACTTTTTCCATTATTTTCTACCTTTCATACCCATCTTTCTTTCTTTATACTTGCTTTCAAATAACAAATAATTCACTTTGGTTCGGTAAAAAAAACACTAATAATTTCTCTAATGGTAGATTTCAATCGAATCTATGACCTAAGTAGGTCGCAAAAATTGGAACTTTTTTAAGATTTGAATCTCGGGTCGATGTCTTAGCCAATTGACATCTTAGGCTTAAATTAACATTTACTTTACTAAGCATAATTAAATAGATAAGTTCTTATTAATAACTAATTATAAAGTTTTAAAGTCTAGTAGTTGACGACCCACATTGATTCAACTAAAGAAAAGCCTCTACTCATTGAAAAAGAAAAGCTCAACAAAAGCAATAAAGTAGACCAACTCACCTGTTTCAACAGCCTCTGCCTCATTCGTTTTCCAATGTTTGGCAATATTCTCGGAAAGTGGATCATCTGGGTTTGGAGCACTCAGAAGTGCTTGGATACTGTGATATATAAACCAAAGTGATATAGTTAAATTTATCATAAATTACACGGTGGTCAAATTTTCAGATCTGTATCCCTAGAGTGAATTAAATGAGTGAAAGACCATGCAATATGTTCAAAGCTAATATGCGGATGCACTGGAAAATTGCATTAAACATTAATATACCTCAAAAGTACAGTTCGTATCTGTAGAGCTGGACTCCATTTGTCTTTCAGAATGTCAAGGCATATCCTGCCAAGCTTAATTGCAGAAATTCACGCCATCAGCAACCAACTGCAGAATGTTGGTGAGGATGGCAATAAGAACTACGCAAGTAGACACTTACCTTATCAATATTTGGATGATAAATCTTCGTCAGAAATCGAACCTGTTTCCACAAAAAAAAAATGTGAGAAAATGGAAAAGGGAAAAGGGAAAAGGTGGCGGTGGAGGAACTCAAAACAGGTTAAAATATGTTCCAATAGGATTACCTAGTGTACCTAGATACAGAATCTGCAGTTATTGGACAACCCTTAAATAAGATTGTTCAATTTTGATTAAAAATTTCTCCTTTGGATACGTCTCTTTTCTATGTGGATCAAATTTATATTTTAAAAAATCAGCCAAACATGTTTCCCTTCTCAGTCTTTCAAACCAATCGGCTGATGAAGCAGGTCATAAAAAAAAAAAACTATCCTCCCATCTCCAACCATGACGATCTCAAATACCAAAAACTTCTTCATGTAATAGCAATATAAATTTATTCCCACGTGTTCCATAGATCAAACAGAATTAAGTTGTATTATAGACGTAAATGTCAAGATTCGTGAAACATTAAAAACTACGTGTATGCAAAATAAATTATGATGACTTGGAATTTTTGTTATATGTTCAGTGCAAGATAGGAAAACCTTAACAGAGGGGGGAAGATGCGAATTCGACAAGAAGAATAGTAATTATGGAAAATCCAATATCAAACGAAGTTTTAACAATCTCATGATCCATAAATGAAATCACAATCAAGAAGTAAGGACAAGAAAACATAAGTAGCTCAATAATTATATGAAAATTTAACAGCACATTTGGCATAAGAAGTTTTCAAATGATCCAACAATATTTGGTGATCACCCATTAGCCCTATGATTTTTATTGGATGCATTTGCTAATAATTTTTTTCTTTTAATGTAACGCAAAACAAAAGGTAAACATGTCTAATTATTTGAAAAGAATAACAGTGGAAGAAATGCAAGTAGGATTTGTCGAATAAGTGCGGGAAGATATCCCAGGAATGATGAATTGCAAATTACCTTGGGAGCAGCCATAGGATATTCTTCAGGCAAAAATAGTTCCAACTTGAAAACTCCTCCTGTAAAGTACATTGAATTCAGCACAAGTATATGCGAAGAACAATATAGAAACAGATTAACAACATTAAATGTGACCAAGGATAAGAAGAAAAGGAACTCAGATTGAAGGAATACATTAACATTATTGAATAAAAATCGTGGCATGATAACCAGCATGTTCTCAAGCTTTGCAGCTCAGAACAGTAGTATTCTACTGTTGCATCATGGGGCATAAAGGAAATGTTCAAGCACAAACGACATGAGTAAAATACTTAACTAAACAAAATTGAGGTCTTTATGAGTAAAAGATGTTCCCACAGTTGATCTTCACTGATAACGACATGCCATTTTCATAGGAGTAAACATATCAATATCAGTAACACTTTAGCCAATCTTCACTTGAATACGTAGTTGGTTCTATAACCATCCATATTACCAACAAAGGAATAGCAAAATTTTCAAAATAATTTGACGTTCCCACAACCATAACGTACTGTCAAGTAATTTACCTTCATAGGGTGACTGGGTCGGGCCAAGAATCATCACGTTAAAATATCGCATGTTATCTTCTGACGGCGAGGCGCTAATCCCAGGGGCTAAAATCACATTATCAGAGATCAAGATCAAATAAATCAAAATGAACTTCAACTTCATAATTATCTGATGAATAAATCCACACCATAAAACCTATCCACACCCAATACCCAAAAAACAAACAATTCCAAGTAACAAGATCAGGAATCAAATAACTCAAACCCTTTAAAATAATCAAAAACTCACCAGGCTCACTGAGGAGACGCTGAGTTTCCTGCGATTGATCACAAAGTAGGAACAAATCAATCAATAACCCAGTTCTACTAACAAAATACATACAAAATTCATCGAAATCCCACAAAGAAAACTTCAACCCAACAAAACGAGACCATTTCCCCAACAAACGAATAAATCAAGCCAGACAAACCGATCGGGGTGGAAAACAAGGAAGATCGCGAAGAAGATCAAAGATCTTACCTTAATGATTCTTCGGGGAAGATTACTGTTCGCCATTTGAGGTCGGATTGCAGAGCTTGGGATAGGGTTTAGGAAACGAAGAAGAGAGAGATTGGAGAGGAGACGCTTTCCTCTCTCTAGATTATAAATACTTGAACGAAGTTTGAAGGTACAACTTTCTGCACACTCCAATTATTACGATCTTTCTGTCCCAATAAGCGATCGGTTATATTTATAAGATTTTTTTTTTCATACCAATCTTTTTATTTATTTTCCTTTTTATAATCATTTTCTTTAGTTGATTTTAGTAAAAATAAGAAATAAAAAATTCTATTTGAATATTTATTTAAAATTTTACTATAGGATCTTATGTTTTGTTATAAAAGTCAAAATTGATTTGAAAGGTAAAATATAGAATTTTAAAACTAATTTTATTATATATTTTTTTATATTACAAAAAATCATACAAACTCTATAAATATAGTTTTTTTTTTTTAGATTTTAATTAACATTATAATTAAAAATATATATATTATTAACTGATTCACCCTACAACAGTAATATTGCTTTGAGTTCGTCCAATAGAGGGATGATCAGATAATTAATTGGAGGTACATAGACGTCAAAAATTAGATCGAGGTAAGCTATCGCTTGTTGGTCGAGGTTAACCAAGCTACTTTGGTTGCAAAAAACCTTGAACCTAGATAAACACAAAACGTGACAATGAAAATGAGGTTGACCAACTCTTCGATTAAAGCATGGAGCTCGAAGTTGATTAAAGTAAAGCTCAACTAACCTTCAACCTAGACCGAGCATTCCATATTTCCACAACCCTCTTCTTAGTGACGTGGTCACCTCACTCTTGCGCAAAATATGAGTTAGAAACAACCGACCCAATACAAATTTGAGGGACCTCGTACTTATCTCATACAAACAAGGACAAGGTCCCATTGACCGAAAATTTTGAAATCAATAATTTATCAAAATAGTTTGATTAAAAAGAATTACACGAATAATATAAATTTTGAAATTAGATAATCGACAAATAAAATTAAAAAATAAATAATAAATAACAGTGCCAGGTTCGAGTAAGCGTAAATACAACGCTAGTAATCTTCCCATAAATAGGAGAAGAAAAAGTTTTGAGCATTTAAAAAAATAATTAAAAAAAGGTTGAATTCAATTTACGACGATATATATAATATTTTTTTTTTTTGTGATAACACAAAATTGAATTACTTTACTTTAGTTTTATATGTAAGTTTATTTTCAACGCAGTCAATTATTAACTAATTTATAGTGATTTAATATGTGTAATAAAATTAATTATTGAATTTACTAAATTAATAATAACTTATTAAAAATTGTACTTAATTAAAAAATTTTAACAAATTTAACTCATTATTTATAACGTAAAATTATATAAATTATTAAAATTGATTACCGTAACAAAAGTTTTTAGGATCAAGTATTTTACCTTCTACATTAACGATCAGTTTTTTATCAGGACAGTCATACGCTAATTTTCCTCGCATAGAGACCTGTCAGCATCGTTCTAGCCATTGTCATTTGTTCTCCCAATTCAAATCACATTAAAGAGCTGTAATCGAAGAACTTGAGCGGTTTATATAGCCCTAGTTATTGACAATCGTACTCCCAGTACGATGAAATATATTACAGTTTTAAATAAAAATTGACGTGACAAAATGTGGTTGTTTCGGATTTAGTTAAACGGTTTGCCCCTCTGTATTTTCGAGAGGCAAGAAGTACTAGTAATTTGAAAACAATATTCTATTATTTAACCCCTTAAAAAAGTGTGATATTTGAACAGGGGATCGGATGACGTGGCGGAACCACAGCGAACGTGAACCCCTACAACGAAAACTTTCATTGAAGATAATTTACGAATCATTTCCGCCATAGCCAAAGCTCGAGCTCAAGCACGGATGCCTCTTAAGACTACTGAGACCTACTGTAAATTACCCGTTCTGCCCTCCTTGTACACATGGCAATTTCACGTTTAGTATTGGGACCTTTCTCGCTTCTTCTACGCTGCTCTTTCACACCAACGAAACTCACTCCTCAACTACATTCTCGCAGATACCGCTTCTTCTCCATCCGGGCTGCTATGGCGTCTTCACCTGCTCGCAAGGTCTTATTATGGATGCCGAATTGGAATATCTTCCTCTCTTAGCGATTGCCTTTTCTTTGTGTTGTTTCATTTTGTCAATTTTGTTTCTGTTTGCAATTCTTTTTTGTTGGATGTTTAGGTTTTGGTTCCGGTTGCGAACGGCACCGAGCCGCTCGAGGCAGTCATCACCATTGACGTGCTTCGACGTTCTGGAGCTGATGTTACCGTCGCTTCCGTGGAGAATCATCTTCGTGTTGATGCAGCTCATCAGATTAAGATTGTTGCTGATTCTCTCATTTCTGATTGCGAGGACACTGTTTTCGATCTCGTCGCACTTCCTGTATGAATTTCTCTTCTTCCTTTTTAATTTTTTGCTGTATGTTGGCTAGGTATTGCGTTTTTAATATTTTGACGTTTGGTCTGGAGAGATGCCGCGCTTTTTTGTTTTCGAGAATTTGTTGATTGAAGGTTGATCGACGACGAGGGTTTCTGTTTCCTATGGAGTCCGATTTCTTTCATTTCGAATCTCCTTGTAATGATATCTTGACTTGATTTTATCAAAAGTTATCGGTATGGGGGCACCACTCTCACCACTGCATTTAGTAACCAAATCTGGAGTTGAGCAGTTGATTTATGTGGTTTATATCCATCATTTTGGGTCATATTTCATAATAATCGATAGCTGTATTTTGCTTTGCCATATTGATTGTATGACTCATTTGCTTTGAAACTTCAAGCCCAATGGTGCTACCATTATGATGTACTTGGTTTTTCAGAGTCCTATATACCCCTTTTCATTGGACTAGGTTTCACTGTTTGTTTTATTGAAGCATAATTTCTGCTTTTCTCATTCTCTAGGGAGGTATGCCAGGTGCTACCAATTTTAGAGACTGTGCAGTTTTGGAGAACATAGTGAAGAAGCAAGCTGCAGATGGTCGACTTTATGCTGCAATCTGTGCTTCACCGGCAGTGGTGCTTGGCTCATGGGGTTTGCTGAAGGGGTTGAAAGTAAGCTGGCTGATATTTTTCTCGAGATTCAAGTCTTGTTTTGATTTATGATGAATTGCTTGCACAATTTTACTTTTATTCAAAATCTTGTCCTTGAAAGGCCACATGCTATCCATCATTTATGGAGCAACTTGGAACTACTGCAACTGCTGTTGAATCTCGAGTACAGATTGATGGCCAAGTAGTGACAAGTCGTGGGCCTGGTACTACCTTGGAGTTTGCTGTTGCGCTGGTTGAGCAGTTGTATGGGAAAGAGAAGGCTGATGAAGTTTCTGCACCTTTGGTACAGTGTTTTTCTTCTTCCTTTTTTGTACACTTGGCTGCTCACACACGCGTATATTTATTCTAAATAGATGAGGTAAAAACATACATCTATAATAGCTAGATGAAAATAGGCAGAGCGCAATTGAACAATTACTGTGATGGAAAAGAGAACAACAGAGATGAGAAGAGTGGGGTTGGTCATTCATGCGAGAGTATTGAATTGAAAAAGTAAAAAAAGGATGGAATTTAGAAAAATCCCTTGTGAAAGTAGCTAATTGGCTTGAAGATAGTCTCCTTGCCTGCTTATGTTTATAGATAATGAGGATTTCTTGAAAGGATTTTACCTATCATAAATGGTTTTAATATGAATGCCTTCATCTGTGGTGAACTCTATTCAAAGAACAAGGTACATAAATGAAGGAAATTGAATTTGAAGAAAATAAGATACTGCTTCTCCCAAAAAAGGGTACTGGGAACATTTACTACTTTATAATTCTATTTCCTTTACATCACTTTTAGATATTTGTCAATTGCCAGAGTGACTAATGCTTGTATTTTCTTGTCGAAGATCCTTCTTTGATGCAACGTTTGCTTATCCATATACACTCTTTTAATGTCTAATCAGTTGTTGCGTTCCAACCATGGTCATGAATATACTATTGCCGAGTATAATCAAGAGAATTGGACATTTGGTGATGGCCCAAGGGTAAGGTTTATGTCTTCTACTCATTTATAATAGTTGCAACCACTGTAACTTGCTTCTATTATGCATCAAACAATAGTCCCTTCTGCTTTCTGACAGGGAAAAAGTGCTTCAATTGTACGAGTTATTTCTTGACATGCTTAGAATATGTTGTCTAAATCTATTTCAATATCCATCAACGTACATCTGTGTGTATATCTGATTGGAGGTGTTGGATACTAAGTCTACTGGTCTAGTACAGAGATAGTCATGAAATAGTTTCTGATTAACGTAGCCTCTGGAAGTTTTTTTCCCCTTACGTTTTGAGGTTGAAATGCGTAAGCCTCAACTGAAGCTCCAACACCTCTACAAATTCCTAGCTGTGGTGGCTTTTGGCGGTGGTAGTGCATTATTTAATGAGTTCAACCTTCTTTTCTTTTGTTTATTATTTATTGCACCGTTTTCTTTTCAGTTTTTTTCTTTCTTTTTTGTCTTTTCTGTGATGCCAGACCACTACCTTCGCCTTTTCAATCTACCCTTTTACTACTGTTTGTGGTTTAATTTTTAATTTTTTTTTTTTTTAAGGAGTACAAGTTTCTTGATTTTGTTAAATATTCTTTTTTCTAACTTCTAATTAAAAAGAACCAATGTGTTTTTTTCAGTATTTTTTTCTAACTTTTTAAAGTTTTCTCTCTCTCTCTCTCTCTCTCTCTCTTTTTTAAAAAAATATTTCTCTAGTTTTTTAGATATCATGTTTCGTTCCAATTAAACAAATGATGTATTTTAAACTTTTATATGAATACTGCAATATTTGGAACATAATATTTTATGTTTTTACACTGTTTATTTATTTTTTTCTATTTAAAATGAGGGTTACACCTCATAATGCCTAAGAGTTTACGCCTCACCTCATTTTGTGCCTTAATCCTCTTAAAACATTGTTAGGCAGTTGTAAGGAACACAATTACCTGTGGAATGGATTTATTTGATGATGTCCTTGTCTGAGTGATTACTGGAATAAACTAGCAGCATCTGCTTATCTACCTTTGGAAAACATCATATTGGATAATGAAAAGTTCTCTTTACCTTTTGGTCTTGGGATGTGCAACACCTTTATATTTCCCGTGACTTTTGAAGGAGTTGGAAAGTAACATGCTTTGGCTGGAAATTGAGTACAAGTCTAGATTTAGAAACCAGATTGATGCGTAAAGAAATTTAAATCTTTTGCACCGCAAAAAATGTTGTATCTACACAAAGTTCAATACCTTTGTTAAGACAAAGATACCAATTACTATTTAGAAACTATCTTATTCAATAGTTAAAAATAGTTACAATCATGGGGACATTTTCAACGTTCTTGAGGTACGCTCATATATCAAGCTATATGAAGAATTATCAAATTTTTATTTGCTATTAGTTAAATAATTTAATCTAAACAACGTTGGTGTTCATTTTTAATTTTATTCCAGAGATAGTACTATCACCAAACAATTATTCCAACTAAATGGTAGTCTTGTTTTAATTTGAAATTGGAATTACTAAGTGTATAGTGGGTAATATTCATACTTTGCCTTCAGATTCTCGTACCTATAGCTAATGGCACTGAGGAAATGGAGGCTGTTATGATCATTGACATTCTTCGACGAGCAAAAGGGAAAGTGGTGGTGGCTTCTGTTGAGGACAAACTAGAGATTCTTGCTTCTCGAAAAGTTAAACTGGAGGCAGATTTACTTCTCGATGAGGCTGCTGAACAGTCATACGACCTAATAGTTTTGCCTGTGAGTTTGAATTTTTTGGATTGTATGTATTATTGATTAATTTGAACTAAATTTGACCTGCATATTTGCAGGGAGGGCTTGGTGGCGCCGAAGCATTTGCAAAATCTGAAAAACTGATTAATCTGCTAAAGAACCAGAGAGAATCAAACAAACCCTATGGAGCAATATGTGCATCCCCAGCTCTGGTCTTAGAACCCCATGGTTTGTTGAAGGTATTAACTTGCCATATTTTCTATTACTTTCATCTCCTGATTACGGCCCTATACACTAAGATCACTCCGTTCGGGAAAGTTATAAATCTCATACAGCATTATTTTCGCTGAACCAGAGTGTATCTCTTGTAACTAATCAGTCATTAGTTTCATGTTACTCCAACAAAGGCGAGCTTTCATATAAATTTTGTGCCTCTTTCATATACATTGTGCATATCTATTAGCAGGCTAAGTAGATTGCATTGTAAGATTTTCAAAATGAGAGATTGGGATTCAATCCATGGTGGATACCTATTTAGGATTTTAAATCCTACGTGTTTCTTTAGCAACTAAATATGGTAGTGTTAGTCGGTTATTCGCAAGATTAGTTGAAATTGTCACAAACTAGTCTAGACACTCTGTAGATATTCAAAGAAAAAAAAGACACTGAAACAATTTGCAGTATTCCTCATACGATCTTGAACTTTTGTACATTGGACATATTGACAATATTGATTGAAGTTCTCTCGACAACTTCATCTATGATATTTGTTATCTCAAATTTTTTGACTCCCTGAAATCCATAATTCATTCTTGGTCCCTAATTTCTGACCTCGGAAATGAAGCATGCAAGGAGTTGAATATTTCAATAGACTTTTTTCTTGTCCCGTATGATTTCATGCTCATTACCATTTAAGAACTTTAACAAAAACCAGTTTTTACTTTTCATTCATTTATAGTACGGTTTTAATATAAAATGAGCTTGCTACCATTTCAGGATAAAAAAGCCACTGCTTTTCCTGCATTGTGCGACAAACTGTCCGACAAAAGCGAAATCGAAAACAGGGTGGTAGTTGACGGAAACCTGATTACAAGCAGGGGACCTGGAACTACGATGGAGTTTTCTTTGGCAATCGTGGAGAAGCTGTTTGGAAGGGACATGGCAGTCCAGCTGGGAAAAACAATGGTCTTCATCAGTGAATAAATGTCATTCGAGCATTCTCACTGTGAGTGTTTCGTTATCTTAGCTACTATGAATGGAATGAGTTGTATGAACTGGAGAGTTGATACTCATTTGAACGTGTGAATCCACTTCGAAATTTTGTATAGATGTTTGTTGAATAATAAACTGAGTTATATAACCTCTGAAATGCAAGGTCTCAACCTGAGGTTTTCTTTTTTAATCCATGTTTTTGGAATCCATATTGGAGGAATAATTATGGATTGTTAATCCCGGTTAGTGCGACTCAACTCTCAAGTCATGGTAGTTACTCATCTAGAATTTAACACCTTACGAGCTAGGTTTAGGTTGGAGTTTGGACATGAAATATAGTAGGGCTAAACAGTTGTCCCTTTATAACAGTTAGAGATCCGCACAAACTAGCTTAAATGCTCACACATACATGTATATAAGTCCTTGCACGTGCAGCATCTGAAGCTTGAGTAACGCAAGAGTTTTATTAAATAATATGAACTATTTTTGATAGACGACAGTGTGGCGACATAGCCCTTATTTATTAACTCGGTGTTATTTTTAAGCTTTAAATTAACATCTTTGAAGAAGAAATTTAGTTTTTTTTAGTGTTATTTTTCCTTAAAACTTTATTTTCTCTATAAATGTCTGAATTCTAAGACAGACCTTAGGTCATTTCCCAAGACGTAGAAGTCTTTCCTTTCGGTCTCATGCTTCTCTAAAAGTACAGCACCGACCCTACCTCTAAACTCTAAACCGTCCCTATTTTTTTTATTCGAGTAAAGAAAGGTTTCAATGATGCCTTCGAAACGTTTAAATGTTGAAAATTCTCATAATTCTCATTTTCATTTGCCGTTACAAGTCCATGATATTTAATATTTTTTTTGAAAAATGTTACTTAATTCCTTTTGGGATTTTATGCTTGTAATTTTTTTTTTTTTTTTTTTTTTTTGTAATTTAGTCTTTTGTAAAAAAGAAAAAAAAACAGAATTTTCCATTATAGTGTAACATTGAAGCCGCCATTCTCTTATATATTAAATACGGTGGGCCCACCACTACCCATTTTTAAAAACTTTAGGAAAAATATATTAATGGATGCAATCATGATAAACTCTTATCAGTATGGCATATGCATGCCATACCTCACATAAAGTCAATAATAATAAATAAATAAATAAATAAATAAAATAAAACAAATTGTTAAAGAAAAAATTAATAAATTTATTGGGTGAACTTTTTTAATATTTTTATTTTTGTATCTTTATTTAGCATGCCCGTGAAATTAATTTTGGCGTGATTAGAGATGATGGGCTAGCACTATATTAATAACTTTGTAAGAATATAAATATTTTTTTAAAAATAAGTAAAATTAATGTATTTTTTTTTTATAATGTAGTCTTTTGTAAAAAATGTAATAATAAATAATTTATAATGTAATAAGTAAAATTAATGCATTACCGTCTTAATAATATTTGATTATTGTATTTTAAATTTTATTATACTTTTAATTGGCCGATTTTGTCATCTTATTGAAAATTTATTATTATTATTTTTAATATCTATTTATTTTATCTCAATAAATTTGGAAGCAGGTTTACATTATGATTATCGTAAATTATTTTATTATTATTTAACGATAAAAAAGAACTTTAAAAAACTAATTAACACGTGGAACTATAAAAACTGAAATAGAGTTAAAAGTTGAGGGGAAAAAACTGGTATTTCAACGAATAATAAATTACAAGCTTGTAAAAGTTGAACGCAAGTACTTCTTTGGCGAACGCAAGAACGGCGTAGAGGTACGAATCTTTTATCCCGGTTCTTTCAAATCGACTTTTCATCTCAGGATCGAGGAATTCCACGCGCAAATTCTGAAATGTAAACTCTCTCTCTCTTTCATTCCGCGATTCTTGTTGCATTTCACTGAAAACTTGGCGAAAATCTTAATCTGTTTGTTGATTGAATGCAGTTGGACTCTGTTCGTGTTACTGTTTGCTTCTTTTCGCATTTGGCCGGCTGAGAAAACCACGAGTAAACAAGTGTCTGTCGTTATCTTGCATTCCACTACAGGGGAGGAAGTTTCTTAAAGCTTTCATCAGGTCAGAACTGTCGGAAACTTGTTGTGGTCAAGGTAGGTTGAGTTGCCGAAGCTTACGTTTCGCTTGGATCAGAATGGAGTTGGAATTAATGTAGTTCTGATTGATTTTCCAGATCTTGTTCTTTTTTGGCGGTTTTGGTTCGTTGCTAGTCTGAATTCTCAATGTTAGTGTTACTGATTATGTAGCCTAAGCAGCGTCAAATTTAGCTTAATTTTGCTAGAAAATTGTTTTAGCTCTAGAGGCCTGTTAAATCCGTGCTTACCGAGAAATATTTGGTGCCTGATTTGATTACTCTAAGCTCAAGAGAGAGCTATTATTTTCTCAGTTCATCCTGATGGAATTATAGAAAGCATAGAAGTGTTCATGGCTTCTATTTCTAATTCTAATTACTTTGTTAGGATCGATGAGGAACTCATCTTGGCGTTGAGATCATTTCATAGAATCTTCAATTGAATGTTATCATGTACTTTTTAAATTGTTTGCTCGTCCAGTAACACGATATCTTGAAATTATGATTTATGTAATCCCCAGATTACAATGCTCTTATTTCGCTTCTCTCTTACTGGGATCTATAAAGATTGTCGTAGTGGCTATAATAGAAGGCACAATGTTGTCTTTAACTGTTTATTTATCTTAATTCTTTGTATTGCTTGTTTAGATATGTTTAAACACATCTGATTATATCGAGTGGGTCCATAGGTGGGACCATTAGTATGTTTCACAATATTCATCTGTTTTGAGGTTGGATTTTTACCATTAATAAACCAGCTTCATATATTCTTTCTTGTTAAAGATGCAGACTTTAGATTCAGTAATGGCATTCATTTATTTTGATGTCAAACGGCCATCAGATTCATCTATTGTCCTTCTTTTGTTTATGGGATAATTCGAGAGGAGACTTGAGTGCTTGACAAACTCATACTATGGGTTTATGTTCAAATTTCTTTTTTCCTAATGGCAGAGATTTGATTCGTTGGATCAGAAATTGAACAATACAGAGGGTGTGATGACTTGTTTCTGTTTCTGTTCAAGAAGAAACAGAGATTCGTTGACTGCCCATACAGCAGCTGCAGAAGCAGCAGCAATCGAAGGTATGTTGGTTGAGCTTGAAGTAGCACACGTGAGCAATAATTTATTCACATATGATGATGATTATA